AAAATTGCAACCATGTTAAGTGATGAGTGTTAACTAAATTCACTGTGGTAATTGTTTTGTAATATATAAACATATCATTACCTGTAGAACCTAAAATAATACAACGTTATATGTCAATTATATACCAATGAAACTGGAAAGGAAAGGGGGGGGTTAGTCCCAAGACACATTAAAAGGACAATGGATGACTCAAACTGGGGAGAGTACAAAAAGTATTTCAACTTAATTTTTTTGTATTCATTATTCTTTTTAAGAAGAAGGCAAGATTTGAGGCAAACAGAAGAATCAGTATTAGTTCATTGTGAGTGGTAAATATTTTATGTTCTATATTCATAACTATTTGTGACAAATAAATACTAATGTAATTTTACTTAATAAAATTTAATAAAAATACACTATAGTTAAGCATATACTTTAGATGGTTTTATAAACATATAGGGACTTTTTTGCATTATATATATTCATTAAACAAAAACTCAAAAATAAAATGTGCCACTCTAGGTCAATCCCTAAAATCTTGGTTTACATTTCCCCACAATGTTAAGAAGCCAGGAATAAGTACCATATAAACAGGCAGAATGGTAGGAAAAAGTTACATCTCACCTCCAATAGAAAATAGTCTTTTAATTTAGAGCTAGAAGAGCAATATGTAAATAATCTAAAATCCTAACGGGCTTTTGGCCATTTTACTCTTATACAATCCACTCTCACTATGTTTCCAAAGTAGAAATATTTAAAATCTAATATATCTTCTTTATCTCATTAAAATTATATAAATAGATAAAATTTCCAGTGGGGCGCCTGGGTGGCTCAGTCAGTTAGGCGTCCAACTTTGGCTCAGGTCACGATCTCGCAGTTCGTGAGTTCAAGCCCCACGTCCGGCTCTGTGCTGGCAGCTCAGAGCCTGGAACCGGCTTCGGATTCTAGGTCTCCCTTTCTCTCTGCCCCTCCCCCACTTGTGCTCTGCTTCTGTCTCAATAATAAATAAAAACATAAAAAAAGAAAAGATAAAATTTCCGATAAGTCTCCTCAGCCTGTGGTAATTAGGAACAAATACCCATAAAATACAAAACAGTCATCAGTAAGTGTCAATTTCTAACCACCAAGAAAGTAGTTAGTAAACAGTGCTAAGTCTCATCAAAAATCTTCAGCACAAATATATGTTCACTTGAGGTAAATAAAGCAATTCAAGTGCTTTTTCTGAACAATGAATGCCTACCTACAAAGAGTTTCCCTTAAAAATCAACCAAACTTTCCCTCACTTTTACTTTCCTCTCCCCTTACTTTTTCAACACACACTCTAACCCTACAGTCTCTCCTCTATTCAGCACCCTGGAATGAGAGGTCTGACCAAACCAGGGAACGACTATGGTCTCAAACTCTTCTCAGTCCTTCAGGTCCTTACAGCCAGGTCACTGTTAACTGTTCTTTCCTATGAAGCCAGAGGTCTTCGACTGCAGATTCTCCCTTCCCGACGGCTCATTATCCATCTGTGGTAACTGGGTCTCTTACTCTCCACAAGTGCGGATGGATATTCACCAGAGCCGTCTTCATTTTTCTTTTCTCTAACAAAAAAGTGGCATTGATTCCTAGTCTTCCTTCTATGCAGCTACAACTCTAACTTGACTCCATTACGTTAATCCTAAATTTCCAAAGAAAAATCCTAGCAGCATCAAAACTAACATGCCCAAAACAGAACTTTCTTTATTCTTCAAGTTTGCTCTCCTTTTACCATTACTCTGGGACTATTTATGGTGTCGCCATTCCAGAGTGATTAACTTTGATACTCAGAATCATCTCTGATTATTCCCTTTCTTTTACCCAATATCCACTGGTCATTTCATCTTTCAAAATGTTCCTTCCCTTCCTTTCTACTCCCTCCCCTTCTACTCTCACATTTTTTTTTAATTTTTTTAATGTTTTATTTATTTCTGAGAGAGAGAGAGAGACAGACAGCGTGAGCAGGGGAGGGTCAGAGAGAAAGAGGGAGGTACAGAATCTGAAACAGGCTCCACGCTCTGAACTCACTGTCAGCACAGAGCCCGACACGGGGCTCGAACCCACGAACTGTGAGATCATGACCTGAGCCGAAGTCAGATGCTTAACCAACTGAGCCACCCAGGTGCCCCTACTCTCACATTTTTAATGTAATATCCTGTGTTTCGGTTTCTAATCTCCCATTTCAAATTCATTCCATCTGCTACCAAACTTCTCGTTTGAAATTACAACTTTGTTACTCTGGTTTTCACTCTATAGTATCTGCCAAAGTACTACCAGCTCATAATTCACTCTTCACTGAAAAATGAGCTATCTCAAACCCACAGACATCTTGTGTCTTCAGCAACCTTACTGTCTAGCCATGGCTAACTGGTCCAGAGCTGCGCACCTCATCCAATCCAAGCCAACTCAGTTTTTTTTCTCTCCATAGGAACATGAGATTCAGACGGACAGTTAGTCTCTTGAGACAGGAAACAAAATATTAGGAACTGAAGTACGGCCCCTTTTCACCACAGGAGGCAATACAGAATATGACGGTTGAGAGCTTAATCACAGCCCAGCCTCCAAATGGATATGCATTTCTCTTAAAACCATGATGTCTTTATCCATAAAATGAGAACAAAATACCTCAAAGGTTTGATAAGATAATTAAGCCAGATAATTGCTGAAGAATATTTAACATATCTGACAGAGAGTAAACAGCCAGTAGCAGAGAAATCTGCAGAAAAGAATAAAGCTGACAGAGAAAAGCAAAAATAAGATTAAGACTAATCAGTTCTGGGTGGTTCAGTCGGTTAAGTGTCCAACTCTTGATTTCAGCTCAGGTCATGATCTCCCAGTTTGTGAGATCAAACCCAAAGCAGGGCTCCATGCTGTCAGCATACTCTCTACTCTCTCTTCTCTTCTCTTCTCTCTCTCTCTCTCTCTCTCTCTCTCTCTCTCTCTCTGTCCCTTGGGATACTCTCTCTCCTTTCTCTCTGTCCCTCTCCTGCGTGCATGCCACACAGTCACGCGTGCGTGTGCTCTCTCAAAATAAACATTAAAAAAAATAATGGGGCACTTGGGTAGCTCAGCTGGTTGGGCATCCGACTTCAGCTCAAGTCATGATCTCACAGTTGGTTTGAGCGCCATGCCTGCTCTGGATTCTCTGTCTCCCTCTCTCTGCCCTTCCCCCACTCACGAGAGAGCATGCGCTTGTGCGTTCTCTCTCAAAAATAAACATTAAAAAAAAGTAAAATAAAATAAAAAATTCTTGGGGCACCTGGCTGGTGCACCTTGAGGTCCTGAGTTTGACCCCCACCATGGAGATAGAAATTATTTTAAAACTAAATAGAGTAATAATGTAATTACTGAAAGGGAAGGATTTACTTAAAAAAAAGGAAAAAAAACTAATTTAATTCCCTAAGTCATGGATACATGTCTATGTTAGGCTTCTTAGCTCCTCTATTCTTAGGTTAAAATGCCCTTGTGGCACTTGGGTGGTTCAGTCACTAAAGCATGTGACTCTTGATCCCCAGTCATGGGTTCAAATCCCATGTTGGGTGTACAGATTCCTTAAAAATAAAATCTTCAAATAAATAAATAAATAAGATGACCTATCTCTGCCTATTTAAGCTTGGAATGAGTTTTTGTTTCTCATAAAAAGACCTTATCTTTTATAACTGTACACTGCAAAATTAAAAGACGTTGTGCCTCTTCTTTAAAACCTCGAATGGCCCCCACATCCCACTGAATACGCCTTGTAAGATAAGGACCTCAATTACACCTTGATATCCTGACCATGCCCTCAAATAAAGGAATAAAAACAGGCTACAAGTGGTATTTAAGGCAAATAACTTTGGCATTCTACTACCTCCCATTGACAGAGCTCTTTAACCTCTCTTGATATCTGCCTTCCTATTTTCTAATCTTTCTCTGGCCTTGAATCTACTGAGACACCCTCTGGAACAGCCTCACCTTACTATCAATGTTTACTAATGAATTAAAACATAACTTCATTTGCTTGGGGACCTATCAACCCCCAAACCATAAAATGCTACGAAGAGAAAAAACAAAGAGGAGACCTATGCATACATCAAGTTCTAAAATTAGTATGACTAATTTCATTCTACTTGCTAAGTCCAACCACTGTAATACTAGAATAAGCTAGAATTCCGCTATAGTGTATTCTCACACACAAACAAAACATATGAACAGAATACTGCTCTGAGTTTCACAATCCTAAATAGACTACCCAGGTATGACTTCTGATCAAAACTTGTCAAGGCAAAAATAAAAAGCTCCCATGCTACACATAGGTAGAGAAGCCAAGATGTTTGTTTTCGACCTTCTGCCAAATTATCTAATCAACACCCAAAAAGAACTGTTGCATAACATACAGTAATACTTTTCCATGATTCATGGAAATTAAGCCTATATCTCCCTAATATTTCCAGAACTCAACTGTAAAAAATGCCTTGGGCCACAAAGAATAAATGTATCTTCCTCATGATTATAAGAAGTTTACAAAAGCGTTCAGAAAGAAGGTCGCCAGGCAAGTAAAAAAGATTATGTTGCTTTGCCAGAGGGACTAAATACCCGAAAATATTGAACATTCAAAGTTAGAACATATATGTGCAATGCAATAAAAAGAATATGAGTGGTTAAACTCTACTGTGTGTTTTTATTCATTAAACAGACCCTAGCAAAATTATCAGCTCAACTTCCTGATGTTCTACTGCCATCATATTCTCACTATGATTAGCTAATTTAACCCTTCAAACCAGTAAGGAAGGCTAAAGCCCGTCTACAACTTTGTTTTATCTGTTCAACAGACATACAGTTATGTGATGCAATTTGCTTTTCAAAGTTTGCAAATTTGGTTTAAAACAGTTAAGTCGGTATTTGGCCCAAATTCAATATTTGAACAAAAGACTGAAAACCCTTCCAAACGAAACATAAGCATGTAGCATCCTAAGCTACTCACTGAAGTATTTTAATGTTTTTTGATAAACAGTTCTTACCACTCTGGCTGCTCTCTCCTGAGATTCACATTTCCTGCAAAACCATGGTCCAGTGGGTACTTGAACAATGCCATAGCAAGCTATTGGGAAATAAAATATTTTAAAATATATTAAAAGGTAAAGAATTACAAAAAATCCAATGGGCTTTCAAAGCCCTCTTAAAATACCTCTCGGACTATTCACATAAAATACCTTCTTTGTAAAGAATGTAAACACTTTGTATTTTTATTTACCAGGTATATATTATCACCACCAAATAAAAACTATGTGACATTTTAATAGGAATGTTAAAGAATCAGCCTTTTGTTATTTTATTTAAATAAGTATAAGCATTACAAATTGTGCTTATTTGGGGTACCTGGGTGGCTCAGTTAGTTAAGCATCCAACTCCTCATTTTGGCTCAGGTCATGATCTGGCAGATCATGTTTTCAAGCTGGGCCCACCCCCACCCCACCCCACCCCACCCCCATCACTCCCACACACACACACCCTCTCCAGCTCCACGCTGACACTGGGGAGCTTGCCTGGGATTCTCTCTCTGCCCCTTCCCTGCTCTCTCTCTCTCTCTGAAAATAAATAAACCTAAAAAAAATTGCACCTATTCTTTTAGGATAGGAAGAATATGGAGTAAAACTTAACACGTAGGTTCTTTACAAAGAATAACTCAGAAACTCATTAGTTCATCCCTGTATCCTGCAGTTTAAATACAAAAGCATTTTAAGTAAAGCTAATGAAAGTACTTCTAAATCACCTGTCAAAATGAGCAACAAGTATTGCAGGAAAGAAAATAAAACGTAAGGCTAAACGTGAAACGATTCCATTTGTATAAAATGGAACAGGTGTATCAATAGAAACTACACTCGTGGTTGTCTAGGGAAGTTGGGGAGGTGTTGGGGAGAAATGGAGAGTAACTGCTAACAGTCCAAGGTTTCTCGTTAGGTTGATGAAAATGTTCTTCAACTGAGTGGTGGCAATAAATGCAAAACTCTGTAAATGTACTAAAACCAGTGAAATGTACATTTTAAGTAGGTAAATAGTATGCTATGTGAATCACATCTCAAAGCCATTACTTTAAAAAGTACATATTTGGGGCGCCTGGGTGGCTCAGTCAGGTAAGCGTCCAACTTCAGCTCAGGTCATGATCTCACAGATTGTGGGTTCGAGCCCCGCGTCGGGCTCTGTGCTGACACCTAGCTCAGAGCCTGGAGCCTGCTTCAGATGCTGTGTCTCCCTATCTCTGACCCTTCCCTGTTCACGTTGTCTTTCGCTCTCTCTCAGAAGTAAATAAAAAATTTAAAAAAATACATATAAAAAATAAAAAGTGCGTATTTATTTCTAAATATATGATGTGAATGTTCCAACAAGTGATCTGAGTATATCTAAATCACACTCTAGTTAAAGTTTAAAAAATCATTGCTATTTAAGAACTCAAATTTTCCAAAAAACCTACAACGCTAACATCCCACTGACATTCTCACATGAACTCGCTCAAAGAAAGCTTGAAAATATTTTTCCTTATTGTCAAGTTGGTTTCCATATAACACCCAGTGCTCATCCCCACAAGTGCCCTCCTCCATGCCCATCACCCCTCTTCCCCTCTCCCCCATCAGCCCTCAGTTTGTTCTCAGCATTCAAGAGTCTCTCATGGTTTGCCTCCCTCCCTCTCCCCAACTATTTTTCCCCTTCTCCACGGTCCTCCATTAAGCTCCTCCAAATCTACCTATACGTGCAAACATAGTATCTGTCCCTCTCTGCCTGACTTATTTTGCTGAGCATAACACTCTCAAGTTCTATCCGTGTTGCTACACATGGCCAGATTTCATTCTTTCTCATTGCCATGTGGTATTCCATTGTATAGATAAACCACATCTTCTTGATCCATTCATCAGTTGATGGACACCTCGGCTCGTTCCATGTTTTGGCTATTTTTGAGAGCGCTGCTATGAACATTGGGGTACATGTGCCCCCATGCATCAGCACTCCTGTATCCACTGGGTAAATTCCTAGCAGTGCTATGGCTGGGTCATAGGGGAGTTCTGGTGTTAATTTTTTGAGTAACCTCCATACTGTTTTCCAGAGGGGTTTCACCAGCTTACATTCCCACTAGCAGTGTAGGAGGGGCCCGTTTCACCACATCCTCACCAGCATCTTGAGTCTCCTGATCTGTTCATTTTAGTGAAAATATCTTAAATATTGGAAAACACTCAGATTATAAAATCAACATAAATTGTTTAAATTCCCAAAAGCTAAACTTGAAATTTCCTTTTAATATCTATAAATATATCAGTGTAAAAATGTTCTGTCAAGAAACACTGCATCAATAGCCAAAAACTTACATTTTAATTCAGAAGTACTATTTCAGACAAGACAATTAATGCTTAAATGAACATTTTCTATTTTGGGAGATGTCATTACTCATTAAAACTTGATAATTGGGGCACCTGGGTGGCTCAGTCGGTTAAGCGGCCGACTTCGGCTCAGGTCATGATCTCACAGTCCGTGGGTTCCAGCCCGGCATCAGGCTCTGTGCTGGCAGCTCAGAGCCCGGAGCCTGCTTCCGATTCTGTGTCTCCCTCTCTCTGCCCCTCCCTCGCTCACTCTCTGTCTCTCTCTCTCTCTCTCTCTCTCTCTCAAAATAAAGACATAAAAATAAATAAATAAAACTTGATAATTGAGGATCCAATTCATAAGAAATACCTTCACAAATGCCAACGAACACCGTGATGGAAATGCTACACATCATTTCTAAAACCTTAAAACCAGTATACAGTTTCAACACACATTTTCACTCCCTAAAGAAAAGAAAGATGTGCCGGGCGTCAGTCGGTTAAAGGTTCGACTGGTAGTTAAAGGTCCAACTCTTGGTTTCCGCCCAGGTCATGATCTCATGGTTCGTGGGTTCAATCCCTAAATTAGGCTCCATCCTGATGGTGTGGAGTCTGCTTGGGATTCTCTCTCTCCCTCTCTCTCTGCCCCTTAACTGCTCTCTCTCTCAAAAAAAAAATAAAAAATAAAAAATAAGTAAAAATTTTAAAAAAAGGGTGCAATTAGGTGTTCCTTAAAACTACACTCCAGTAATTAATTCACTGTCTCCCAAGTCTCCCTTCCCCATTCTGAGATTTCATTCTATAAAGAATTGCACTTCAACCTCTTACGCTTCAGACTCTGTCTCATCTGGTAGCGTCCTTTCCATATACTACTAAATATCAACATCACTCTATGCCAAATTCAGAAATAGAAAGCAGGGCGGACTGGTAACAGGGACAGGATAAAAGCCACCCAAAAATTACCTAGGTTGTTTCCTTATCACAAGATGTGGAAAAACTCATAAACTTCAATGGCCAGAAAACTCTTACTAGTGCCCTCGGCTTTTTTGTAATATCCAAAAACTCATCGAATGGGAACCCCCGTAAATAAGCTAAGATGCTCCCCAAGTCACTGCCCGCACCACTACCTCCTCTCCTCTCCAGTCCCTTTAGCTGAGGAAGCGGCCAGATACAGCCACTGAACAGCCTCATCCACCAAGCCCAGGACAGCTCAGCCGAGCCACCCCTGCAGCAGAACGACCGCGGCGGCGGAAGGCCACCGTCTTCTACGCAGGAAGCTCCGGGTCCGCAGCAGCAGGGTCTCCGCCAGAAAGCTTGGGGGTGCAGCAGCGGCGCTCCCTAATCTAAGGCGGCAAGGCCACCCCTCTGCCTCGGCGACCCGCCCTGGCGCAGCGAGTGGCATTCCGGAGCCCAACTCCATGCCACAGGAAGTCTCCAGACACACTGCGGCAGACGGGAGCAGCCAGGGAAGGGGGAGGGGCCTCCACGTTCCCAAGCCCAAACCCACGGCCACCGCGACACCGCCAACGGGCGCACACGCAGCCCCGCGCCGCCCCCCAGGGCACGGGCCGCGGCCCCCGCACCACCGAACCCCTCCCCCCCCCCCGCCCTCGCCTCCAACCACCGCCTCGGGAAGTCTCCAGCCCCGCGGCTCCGGGCGCAGGCGGCGGCGGCCAAATGACACTTGAGAGAGTGAGCGCAGAATCACATGACAGTCCAGGCCACACGCACTTTCTCCCACATGCACAGCCCACACCCCCTCCGCCCCGCCGCGGACCCTCGGAGTCAATCCCGGGCCGCGGAACGGGGCGGGGGCGGGGCGGGGGGAGGGGCGGCAGGAGAACTGGCAGTTGCTGCCAAGGTGGGGGAAGCGGTGACGGTTGGGAGCAGGCCGGGTTCGGCCCGGCGGGCGGTTGGGTGTTTACCTTGATGCACCGCGACGCTGCAGCCGTGCCCGTCGCAATAAACCAGCGGGTTCTCGGCCCAGCCTCTCTCGTCTGAGCAAACGCAACAGCCTCCAATCATCTCCTTCATACTATGGGAGACCTCGTCCTCCAGTGACACGGGCCGGTCGCTAGAGACCATCTAAGAGGGAGTTGGGGGGACCATTAAAAAACACATGCAAGCCAGTTAGCGCTTCCCCCCCACCCCCGCACAGCCACCCGCGTCCCCGCTCCCTTCCCTACGGCCCCGGCCCCCGCCCGCCGCTCGGCCGCTCGCTCACTCGGGCTTTGCCGCTCAGTCACTCACGTTCCGCACAGGAGTCAGGAGCCATGTCCTTGCTGACTCCCCCCACCTCCCCTCCACCGCCTCCTCCGCCTCCTCCGCCTCCTCCTCCTCCTCCTCGTCGTCTTCCCTCCCCACCTCCACCCGGCCGCTAACGCAGGAGCCCGGAGAGGGCACACATAATCAAGTAGGCCTCCGCACAGGCGCACTGGGGGGGCTCCCGCTGGGGCAGGGGCAGCCAGGGAGGGGAAGGGGGCTGCGCTTCCTCCTCCGAGCGTCACTCGGCGTGCGCGCCCGCCCGGCGGCCGGCGTGAGGGAGAAGGCCCGGGAGCGGCAAGGCTTGCGTGCGCGCCGCCGCGTCCGGCCTGCAGCCCCGGCCTACCTCCCGGCCCCTTCCCCTCCCCCGCGCCGCTCGCAGCCGCCGAGGTGTGCTCGGGGGTGGGGGCGAGTGGAGCCGGCGGCGCGCCGAGGCCGGAACGAGCCAACGAGAGGACGCGGGGGCGCGCACGCGGGGGCGGGGACGTTGGGGCCGCCTTCTGCAGCGCCGGTCGCGCGGGCTGAGCGTGCACGTCTGGAAGGGGCCTCCGAGGGAGGGAGGGAGGGAGGGAGGGGAGGAAGCCGAAGACCCGGAGGGAGGGGCTTTTTTTTTTTTTTTAATCAGAGTAGCCGGAGGGGACTGACTCCCCCGGGGCATCTCTCTGCATTGAGAACCTACCTGCGGGCCTTTTCCTCCAGAGCTGGCCCGTGGGTAACAAGGGTAGGGCAAATATGCCAGCTTCCAAGAAGGGTGCAGTGAAGCATGGCCTCCTGCAGTTGGCCTCGCTAACTTCACATGCTGCCGCAGCTTCTCCACCCATTAAATTCACATCCTGGACTCTACCCAAAGTTCACGCAGTGGAAGTGCCACCAGATCCGCAGCCCATTTACACACCACATTGGCCCCAGTGACAAATGAAAGTGCATCACACACTGAAGGTCAAAAGCCTGGGTTAGGGTAATACTTAGAGAGGAGCACTAAGGCTACCTTCAGCTTGCCGTTAGAAGAACAAACGGTTGTTAATCAGGAATTAGCAATATAATGTGATGACCTGGAAAATGCCGTAATATGATACCGAAGGATGAAGGAACCCAAGTTCTAGTCAGTCACCAATTGATAACACCCTGAGATAGGGGAGTCCAGTTTTGTTTGAGGATTTCTCTCATCTGGCTCTGTACTCCAGATTTACTCTTGAAAATTTAAGGTCACTTTTTTGTTTTTTTTAAGGTGATTTAAGTGGCAGAAAGATGGGCGCTCACTCTTCACATACACATAGAAAATGGATTAGGCCTATCTGAATAGATTAATTAGCCGGATACTGCGCAGTTTTGAGCTGTAAAAATCTTCCATTGTTGCCCTATCCCCTATGTATCCTTGTAAACCCAAGATTGATTTTAGGCAAAGAGTGTCTAATTATGAAAATTTAGCATGAAATAGGAATATAGATTGTTCCTAACAATGACAGGCATACTAACAAGGTGAATTCGTGGCTTTGGTAAATAACTTGCAGGTAAAAAATGGTTGTTTATCAGGAATTAGCAATATAACATAAAGATCTGGAAAATGTGGTTATTCAAGGCTAAAGGATGAAGGAACCTCAGTTCTCTTAGTCACCAAAAGATGACTGGTTTAATCTTTAAAAGCATTCTAAATGTTCTCAGAAAGGAAAACTAAAAATGGTAGCATGGCTGTTTTTTCCATTTCAAATTAATTGCTACAAATCTATTTAAGAATTATAGTAGATACTATACAATGCAACCATATGTTAGCAAGTATATTCAAACATTTTAAAGCTAAGTGAGATATCTACAGTAATGGAAATCTACTAAAAGTTTAAGGGAAAATGCACACGTAAGAGACATAAAAATGAGAATTCTCTTTTAGCTATTAGTTCATTAAGAAAACATGACTAAAAGATTACATACCTATGCAATGCAAATTCTTTTGAGGCGTATGGCAACACTTAATAAATTTCTAAACATATACTAATGTTCTTAAATTTTCATTGATATTTATGAAATTAAAACCACCCTCAAACAAAACTGTATCATTTTGTGTATCTTAACTATGTATTTTATCTTCATCCTTTCACAGGGGACACTAATTCAGCATCCAATTCCTGCCCAGGCTCTCTTCTAATGAAGAGAAATTTTGAGTTAAAATCAATGTGAAACTTCCTTTCCCAAACATCACTGTCAAACCTTAATGCTCTAAATTATTCAAACATACATTCATTTTATTTTCAATACATTGGAGCCTAGTTCTTGTAACTGAATTAATTTATATGTAAAGAAGGATGGTACTTTATCCTATTCTATAACACTTAATAAAAGAAATAGAGGTAAACATTCACTCTACTGAAAATAAAACAAATTCATCATTCATAAGAGACTTTTGAAATTTAGAAACATAGAGAAAAACACGATTTCGTAAGAACAGGCCTCTATATAAAAAAGTAGCATCTGAAGCAGAAATTTTATTAAAAATGTACATATAAATGTTGATAAAAATGTCAGACTACTTAAAACATATTTAACATATTAAATGCTGAGTTATGAAAATTATAAGAAAAAACAGAATGGGTATAAATAGACCACTCTAATTTCAAATACCAGACTTTTCTCTTTATGTTATATACCAAAAGCGTAATATTTACTATGCTTCTATAAAATATTAAGTGAAAAGGAAGAGTGTACAGACATTATAAAATAGTTCAGATATACAATTATTTATTCATTCAGTAAATATTTATTGAACATTTACTGTGAGCCAGGGACTGTTCTGGACACAGGAAATATAGCAGTGAGCAAGTTATATTTGTCCTTTGTGTGAGATATATACCCATACATGCATGCGCACACACACCTATACATATACATATATATGACATTGAATGAATATGCTAATTCTCGTATCTTAGAATGGATAAAACTTATCAATTGCCGTGATTGTTAAAGTTCAAGTAAGTTTTTAAAAATACATGGTAACAGGGGAAAAAGTCCATGGGATTTATAAAATAACTTCATAGAAAGGACAATTTCTATCTTAAAGTAATGTTACTCTTTAAATCTGAGTCCTCGTTCTCAAAGTACCCTTTGGAAAAGTGTATCTAGTACCTGTAGAATAAAACAAAAGCCTGTTGTCTACAGTATTCCTCTTCACATAGCAGCAGCTAACCCAGTACCCGTACGGGCTCATCTATTTCTCTGAACTAATCATCTGAGGCAAACCACAAAAAACTCAAGTAAAGTATTTTATGATGTAACCTCTAACCCTGCTATAATGGGAAACTGTATTTTTTTCTCTATGGGTAATATATCTCCTTATAATTTTCTTTATTCCTTAACCTAGGGACCAAATTTTTGGATTTCCTTTTCCATAATCATTCACGTAAGTGGATACTATGAAAGAAATAGCTAAAACCAAATCTGGTTCATAGGTTAGTATTGCTTATATTCATCTCCTTTTAAATTAAAGTTTTATTTCTCTTCTGTGTGTGCACATATTTAGTCTACTCTATCCATTGTTGATGTATATTTCTCCAATGAAGTATGGAAAATGACATATATGTCTATAATGTGAACACTAGATGCATTTTGCTTAACTCAGTTCTTAACTTCCATAAAGTGTTTAAAATTCTGTATTAGTTCTGATACGAAGGTTTTAAAACAAAAGCAACCAATACTATGGTTTTAAAACAAAAAGTAATTATTAGATTTCATTCATCTACTAAACCTCATCAGAAGCTATAACCTTATTTCTAAGTAAAGTATTTGGAGACTGCAAAAAGGCAATTTCTTACAATCCGTACAAACTTTCAGATATGTCCTCTTTTACATAAAGGAATCCCTGAATAACATTTTTCTTTGCTCATTTGTAAAAGGTTTCCTGCCTTTTAAATTAAGAGTTTATTATGAGCCATATATTTATGCTAGTATGGTAAGCATATTAAGGTACTTCTGAAACTAGTTTTACTTGTCTCACAGTAAGTGACTATCATATCCTTATACTCGATACAAACACGCACAGCGCACCTATATCTTGGAGTACTATTAGAAATTTCATTAAAAGGTATTCATTTCAATTCCATTTTCAATTTATATTCTGTTAATGGCTTTTGGGAAACTCCATTTAATGAAGTATGTCGATCTTACTAGGTGATTTTTTTTTTTTTTAAATTCACCATACCACCTAGCAAGTCTCTTGCACGTAGTAGGCCCACAATAAATATTCATTTAAGGGTACAATGCTAGTGTTTAAAAGCTAACTGCAACCTGAACTTTATTCTTCAGAGTAAAGCAATACTTTATTTTATATGTACAACGGAACTAAAATTTCTAAGTAATGATTAACAGAAATATTCAGATAAATTGGTCTCTTTGAGTGAGGATTTTCGATAGTTGAAATTCACATTCGTGAAGAGTTTTTATTTACCAGGTAGTTTAGAATTGTCTATATTTTATTTAAGTAGCACTCAAATGTTAACCACCTTTTCATGTAAAAGTCATCATTTTCTTACAAAAGAGACTGCAACTTAGAATCAATCACAATTAACATCATTGTGAGAGACACTTAACTGTTGGAAAGTTTAGGTAGGTCATTCTGAAATTTAAATTGTATGTAATCTAAATTTTAAAATATTTTTAAGAATCAAGGCCTAATATTTACTGTAAAGGGTTTGGCTTGGCTACTCTTGTGTTTGACTTCAGAGCTACTCCTTCTGCTACAAAATTGATATATATTGGTTGTATTTCCATTTTGGGGTAAAACACCTTATAATTACCAGTAGAAAAATAATATCTAAAAGATGACGTTAGGTTTTCTAGGCATTGCATAAACCTCAATAACATTTCAGAGTTGGACTATTTTTTTCCATCATGCTCCAATATTTAAGGGTGTTCAGTGTCTGACTTTTCAGAGTATCACCAATATAAGGGTGAGGTCCATATTCCCAGTTTTTTTTTTTTTTTACTGATACTGAAGATACACATTTCTGTTATAATTAAAGTGTGATTAAAGTGACCTATTTAGGCGTCTGTTTATAGCAGACAATAACATAATGTAGGTGAAAAGATTCTAGACACAAAAAAGAGGAAAATCAGTTTTTGCAATGGAAGACACCTTGAAGGAAATGAAACAAATCTTGGACTTAACAAAAAGAAGAAGAAATTAAGTTGAGTTGCTAAATACTCTCTGGGCCAAAGAAGAGAACTTTTTAAGATTTAAATGTTTTCCTCTCTGAAAGGAGCCACTGCTTAGCAAATCCAGAAACATGCCCA